CTAATCAAAGTGACTGATTTGTTTGACTGAAAATAGTTGCTTCCATTTAAACTTATCTCACAACCCTTACAGAACTTCTAAGTCCGAAACTCATATGATTGATGATCTTCATTACATAAATATGCAACATTTTATCAATAACTTCTTTTTTGTCATTTAAATGTTTACATGAACATATCCATATGTACAAAAACAAAATCTCACTTTGATACCTCACATCAATGTCTACATTTGATAACGAATTGAAATGTAAAACCAACAGGGACTTGTATATAATGTCTATTATCAATTATTTTATAAAAGCAAAACCACAACATAAACTAAGAAACTGAAGTTGCAAAATGAATAAAAAAATCAGCACATAAACAAATACATACATACTATATACAACACATAAATGGAAGTTTATAAAGCATGAAACTTAATGATAGGAAAAGTAAAAAACTTAAAGGAGACTTTATAGAAAGAAAGATCACCCTTACTTGCCACAAATTGTTGAAGAGATCAACGAGAAGATCAATCTGACCATAGAATCCACATGTTGTCTCGATTTGTATGTGTCATCCTTGCGTAGGGGCCATGTTAATCTTCTCTGTATCGTTCCAATTTTATCGGATGTCCCTAAAGGGACGACTATAGATGAAGAGCTTCGCCATATAGAGGAGTAGCAGGTTATATGGGACGACGTGAGTTCTAAACGAAGTAGTTTACTGTTGATGGTCATATATTCTCATTGTCTTTAAAATTAGGGTTAATGACTTCGGTGGGTAATAAAGTTTCTAGCTTGTCCGTATTAGGTCACTAAGGTTTTTTTGTGCGTATTAGACCAATATGGTTGTTATTACCGTTTAGAAATAATCTATTTACCGGTTAAAACCGGTAAATAGACTATTTCTAAACGGTAATAACAACCATATTGGTCTAATACGCACAAAAAAAACATTGGTGACATAATACAGACAAACTGAAAACCTTATTACCCTCCAATGTTATTATCCCTTGATAAAATAGTATCGTTTGAGCAAATTAATAATTTGAAAAAATAACAACATTTATATTAAAAATACTTTATTGGTTCGGATATCATTATCCAGTTTGCACACTTATAAATTCAAGACTTAATGGAGAAAAAAAAAAAAAAAAAACAATACCTTACTTTGTATAGTTTTAAGAGCATGATACTATCCATTTAATGGTATTTAATAGATATTACCAAGTTATATCATAAAAAAACTAAAAAGGTCACCTCAAAGTTATTAAATTGTATTTTTTATTAGACTAAAATAAATAATTTATTAATTTCTTTTAGTAGACCGATAAAATTGTCTTATGCCATTAATGGTGTTTAATTATTACAACTTAAAATTAAAAAAATATATAAAAAAAAAAGTAGCTAATATATCATTAACATTTTTCACCACCCAAACTTATAGTCAAACAACTAAACAAGTTATTACCAAATATATTTGATATTGTACTGATAGATTTTTTTTTTAATAGAAATTATAGTTAGAATGGTAAAAGTATTTATCAAAAATAAATCGGTATTGTACGGTATTCACCTTATTATTCCGTTTTACAAGTGGCTTTAGAAAAAAAAAATAGAACAATGAAATGATTTAAATATCAGTAATGTAGCCTTTAACCATCCCAATTCAACATGTGATGCGTTACGTTTTTGTCATATTTTCAAAGAGAATCCTCCCTAATGCTTCTCTCACTTTACGCTCAAAGGGGGTGACAAGAAATCTTTTTGCAAAATAAAAAGAGAGATATTTCAAGAAAAAAGATTATCCATAGATATATTATACCACTTTACACGACACATAACATGTCAAAGGACAATGGTGGTCGATGCCAAACCGCAACCTTTAGCCTTCTTTAAGTCAATAGATCTGCATATTTGGTAGAAATTATGGGTATATAAGTTTCATATTGGTTTGTTAGGTACTTTTAAATAAATGTATTGTATACGTTGATATCATGTATCACAATTCACAAAATTTGCACGAAAAAGTAATAATATATAATACTAGAATACAAGTTTAGTGATTTGGCGGCGAATCTATATCGAAGTTTCGTAACACAATACATCAATATATAATACTAAAATACAAGTCTAGTATTATATATTATTACTTTTTCGTGCAAATTTTGTGATTCACAAAATTTGCATGAAAAAGTAATAATATATAATACTAGAATACAAGTTTAGTGATTTGGCGGCGAATCTGTATGGAAGTCATGAATATATATTGATGTATTGTGTTACGAAAGTTTATCCTATGAAGCGTAGTTTCTTGGGTGTGCCAAGCCTGTTTTATTGGGTAGTTTTAAGATGTTTATAGACATCCTAATAAATCATAATCCTTTAGTTGATATATAATTTAATAAAGGTATTTTTATATTAATTAGTACGTTTATGATTTGTTTAAACAAATAATAAGAAATATGTTTGAACCTCCGTTAACCATAATACTTTAGTTGATATACAATTTAATAAAGATATTTTTATATTAACCGCCACGTATGGGCGGCTCAACCATTATGGGGGCTCAAAGCGAGCCAAAAATTTGGGGTCCTTTGGCGTTTGCTATACTCGAAAGATGAATATGTCGCAAAAATCAAAATCGGTAGAAGAATGCAATGTCATTTTAGTTTCGTGAATGCAACGGTCAATGATTTATTTTTCCGCTTCATTTATTTTGTGGTTACCAGATTGGATTTTTAATGAACTAAACTTTTGGACTTTGGAGAATATGGGGCTCCTTACAATTGGGGGCCCTAAGCCCTTGCTTAAACAAGCTCAGCATAGAGCCGCCCCGCCGTCACGTCTCTGATGAATAGATTTATTCCGCAGGTTGCCTTGCTTCCAACATCAATGTTTCTTATAAGCCACCAGAATCCAGATAGGTCATAATTACTTTTTGTTCCTTCCAGCAGACGGAGAAGACCCACCACGAACCACCACCATATGATACATTTCGATTCTGAATCCTTCGAGAAGGTATAGTAACATGCACAAATTATAGAAATCATCCCTATGGTTTGCGAAATTTGCACGTTTGGTCCCTATGTGTTTTTTTTCACTTAGACAGCCTTAGATTTTGATTTTATTGCACTTTTGATCCCTTGTTGTAACAGCTAAAAAAATACTGATACAAAATTTTCATTTTTAATTGAGAGTTACATTCATAACTCATCTCCAAAATCCATTACAAACAAACATGTCAAGTTATCAGAGTAACAACATAAGTAAGTGCAGAAAATAGTGCGGAGTGAATGTTGCGCCATCTAGCCGACTTGTTCCCTTTAGTACCGGAATTACCTGAAACCAAAATACAAACTATAAGCAAAAGCTTAGTCAGTTACCCAAATACCACATAATATATAATCGCAGTTCGCAAAATACCACAAAACATACATATAATTTCCATGGGCTACCCCTATGGTCTTTTCCCTGGAATGCCACGGGCTACCCCCATGGCCTGATATCTAAGTGTGATGGGCTACCCCCATGCTCTAGCTTGCCATGGGCTACCCCCATGGTCTTCCATACAAGTATCATGGGCTACCCCCGAGGTCTTTCAGACAAACAAACTCATAGTCAACTAGTATTCCACATGTCAAGTAATGGGTCGTCATCAGTGCCTTCGATCCATTAATATAGTGAGAAGACCCACTTAGGTCTGCTGATAATTACCAACTGCTCGGCTACTGCTCAAAATCTCAAACTGAATACACAAATTACCCAAATTAGAATTAGGTCACAATCCCAAATCATGGGCCAAAACCCTAAGTCCAAATTCCTAAAATAAGGGCCCAATTTTTTTTTCCTTTAATGGCCTAAGTAACCCTGATCTCAAATACAATAATGGGCCCCAAGGCCCAACAAGCCCAATTGCGCCACTTTAGGACCATTAGCAAGCTCAAAGGCCTATCCACTCTAAACAGATCAAGGCCCAAAACCAATTAGGGCCCAAATGACTAAAAAGCCCAACAAAAGCCCAAAAGCTTACTGGAAGCGTACGCGAGATGTAATCCTTGAACGTGCAGCGTACTAGCTCGCTATGTAGTACGCGTTGTGTACACCTTGATACGATCAACATGCTGCCCAACTCAACCCATACAGTCGTTCGACGTTTTACCCATGCAGATATTGAATCCCAATACCAGATATCAGTTGGAAAAAGGGTCTTAGGGCATAAAGTTGGCAACTTTATGCCTTGGCATGGCTTATTGGAGCCCAACATCCATTTTAGTCCATTAAAGATCAGTTAAAGGTCCTAGACTCATGCATGGATTCATATCCATCAAATAGAATACATTTTTATGCTTTTAACATGCCAAATGGACTAAGATCTAACATATCTAACCTTTGGAGTTGCCCATCAAACCATATGTACGATTTCAGTAATTTATTCTAATAATGTTATTTTTTATCAGTATTCACATATCAAAGTGATTTGTTATAATTTGTTAGAGATACTTAAAAAATAGTATTTCGTTTTATGTAGAAGGAACAATTGGAATTCATAGAGCTTGAATGGTGACAAAGCTACCAAAGTTCCTCAGCTCCTAACAATTGATCAACGCGACCTCATATTAATGTCACAAAGAGGGTCCTTGTCATGATCCATGTAGAACTTTGCATCCAACATTCTCTCTCTCCCCCCCCCCCCCTTAAAGTGTGGAATAGATGACAAGGCTTCATCTTCAAAAAGAAGCATCTAGCAAATAAGAAGAGAACTCGCGACAAGGAACCATCAAAGCGATCTACGAATCTCGATTCTTCAATACTCAAATCAGTTGAGGAATTGTTTTCTTGTTTTCATCTATTGATTCATTTCTTTTGAATTCAACATATTCTTCAATTGAAAACTATTGTCCTTCAAACGATCTTTGAGATTTATCAATTCTGCAATCAAGAATCAATTAATTGAAACTTATTTCATTAGTATTCATGCTTTTCATTTCTTATGATCAAATTCTAGGCAAACATGAATGTTAATACAATGATGAATTATGCAAATATCATCAGTTCATCAATAAAAACCCCAATGTTGCTTCCAGAGTATTATGATAAATGTGTTGATCGAATGGAAGATTACCTAAATGGAATAGATGATGATCTATGTCATCCAATCAGAGATGGTCCATTTTGTGCAAATACAGTTGAAGATGTTGGTACTGCTACTCATGATGATATTTTTATTGTAACACGATTGAAGAAAGAAGTGAATGATAAAAGATGTATTCGTGAACTGCGAGGAGATTTACCTCTAGGATTTTACAATTACATATGTGGGTGTAAATCACCACGGGTGATCTGGAACACATTGAACGAGACGTTTCAAGGCAACGAACGAACATAAAGGAGTTCGGTGACTCAATGCTTATATGAATTGTCCAATTTCAAACAGAAGAAATAAAATTCAATTTAAGCCTACTATGATCGATTCAATGACTTAATCTACAAATGATAAAGGTACAATGTTATTTGATTGTTTCTTGTTAAAGCAAGGATTTGCACGGACAACGAATGAGAACTCAAATACTGAATTAACTTAAGATCAATGTCTGCTAATAATAAGGATCCAGTCAAGTTTGGTAACTAGTCTTGTCTCGAAATAAGAAGTTCAGAAAAGTGCTCAAAGTGAATAAATAATAAGTATGATTTATGTAAAGATATTCAAGAACAATAAGAATGTTAGAGAGAATGATTGACTGAATGATTCTTGATATTGATGAGAAAGGTGTATGTTCCACACACGATACAAAGGTGACTACTCCTGAAATAGTCAAAGGAGTGACTACATGAAAAATATGATAAAGTTCATGGACTAAGAGACATTTGAAGATCAACAGACTGACACATCCGTTGTTGTTGATCTTGTCTCTTGTACTATACTAATAGACAAAAGGAACAATGCAAAATAGTACTTGTAACAATAAATGCTTATTACAAACTGAAAATAACTTCAATAAAAGATGCATCTCAAACTGATCTTCACTTCATAATGGACTCCACTTCAGAATACGCTCGCCTCAGACATGCTTCATCTTGGAATGCTAAATGATCACTTTCCATGTATCAAAAATCTCCTGTAAGTAACCTTAGCAATCAATCAACTCATCACTTAGCTTCATCAAACACAAATAGATAGGCACTTCGAAGCCAGCTTCAGACTTCGATGTACCATTTGAGATGCTTAATATGTTTCTTAATGAAATGTTTGAAGAATCACTCTTGGAAGCATTTGAAATGAACTTTTGAAGAATCTTGGTGGGAATGAGGTGTTTGTCAAGAACTCGGAAGAATTCTTTCCGATCAAATTTTTTTTTGAGATTGACATAACCATGTTATGGTTCTTCAATCGGTCCTTCTGTAAAAATCTAGGCTTCATGAAGCTTAGTGGTGATTTTCGCTAAGATATTTCCCATTACAAAAATATGAGAAAACTCCACATCGGATCTACAGAATCCAAAAATGTAGTCGTTAAGAAAGCTGATTGCGGCGTTGTAAGCTCCAATGCTCGATTCATTTGTTTGATGATCTCGGAAATGAGCAAATATATTGTGAGAACGTCATTTGGATTCATCGAGGGAAAGTCTGCATCTGAAATGGTGGTGGTGGGTTGTTTGTTCTGAGATACGAAATATATGTGCAAAAGACAGTCAAGATCAAGTTTTCTTTGAACCTTATTACTATATCCAACAATATTGTTAATTCTTTTCTGAGACCACACTTTCTTTTGGGGTAGTGTGTTAGTGGAATAGAAGGTTCTTAACCTCTCACGCTTAGTTCAGATGATGGTTTGTGGGTCATCTGATGGATGTGGAGGTGCAAACTTGATGTTAAAGTGTCCATGAGGAGAGATTGGTACTTCAAGTTGGTTTTCATCAATTGTTGGAAGATCGAAGTACAAGAAGGGCACAAAATCTATGTCGTGCAAGATTCCTTCTAGGAACAAAGGAGAGATGCCCAACATCGGATTAGGATTATCTTTGAGTGCTTGAATCAGGATCCCTTCTTCAAGTGCTTGTTGTATTTGTTCTTTGGACCAGCCCTTGGACTTTTAAAAGGACTTCAGTGGGTTGTTAGAACTTGTAGTTATATTATTGCCTTTGTCTTTTGATTGGTCAACTTGAGAAGAGATGGAGGAGATGATTTGATGACCAGATTGGCTAATATACAGCTCCGATGAAGGAGGAATCAGAAGCTCTTTAGGGATCTCCTTAGGTTTCCTGGTGGGAGAACCTTAATCTATTTGGACAATCCTCAGAGTACGAATTGGAGGAGGCATTGGCTGAGTGGCTCGGAAGGCATCAATTGTTAACTTTGTTTTGATATAAGCCATATCTTGACTACTTTTGAAGAATTCACATAAACATGATGGCCAAGAAAACAAGGATGATTTCATCTCCTCTACTTCTAAAAGGACTTTGGTAGGTTTCTCCATGATAGCTTGAAGTCCCAATAATCACATCCTCAACTATATCTTCTTTATTAATATCTTCTTCTTCAAGGGTTTCTACTTCCACGATTTCTTCATCAATAGATTCACCTCGGAGCGTGTAGTCCGAGATCGGTTTCCATTATACTTGCATTTATTCTCCCACTCTTTCATGGGATGGCCTAGCCTCCGATGCAAGTACTGAATCAGAATTCGACTCGCTTAAACATTAGAACACCCTTTAAGCTCATGTTGATTTGTTTGGAAAGAGAATTTTTAAGCCTCATCAGTTGGAGCTTGAGCTTTGAGATGACCGAAGGATTCATCCATCATAATGAGCATTTCATAAATATTTTGGTTCGGAACATCCACAATATGTTGAGTTGAACGGATGAGTTTGATGAGCACCTCTTGCACAGCCATGTTCATGGCATCTTTGTGACGAATTTCCCTTTCCAGCCTTTCAATATGCTTCGCATGATGAACATGAGTTTGCTTAATAAGTGTGTTGGTATCAGTAATCATATTGTCACGGATTTTAAGCATGATGGAGGTAGTCGAGATGTGATGTTCGAGGCTGTCATTATATCGTTGCTCAACTTCTTCTATAGTGTGCATGTTACGAAGAGAAATAAGATGATCTAGTTGACTCTCTCTATCAAGTTCCTAGAGAGTAACAACTTTGACCTTGGAAAGAGACTTGAGAAGAAGTTCGGGTTTTGAGATGGGCTTGAGACCTGCTTAGTGACGTTGTCAACATTGGAGTTAGTAGAGGCAACATTGTATTGGAGTTCCAACAAGTCAAACATATATGAAATATTTTCATCGGAGGAAATCGTGTCCGAGGTTGAACTCTTAGATTTCTAGTCATCATCATTCGATCCGTTTGGCTTGGAATCATGAATCGAATTGCCTTGAGTTTGGTTACCTTGATCACCTCCAAAGGTGGCTTCAGGAGGAGGAGAGGAGTGCTTGTTTCCTTTAGAATTTTCTTCTTCTTCTTCAGATTCCTCAGAGGACAAGGATAGACAAAAATCAAAATATGGTCTTGAGGAAGAAGGTTTCTGCAACAGATTGAAGGCAGTGAATATAGGAATCAAACCAACAATGATGTTATCATCTTCAAACATAATCTCATCATAGAAATCATCTTCGACATCAGGCTTGGCAACTTATGCACTAACAAACGTTGGAGGAGGATCATCTGAAACATTTATGGAATCAGGAGCATCTCCTTTAGAAGACACTTCATTCCAAGGAGGATCATCCATTGTGTTGTCAGGAATGGGAAATTTTTCACTCATAATCTTCTTCAAAGAGTTGAGAAATGGTCAAAGCTCTTGATATGTCTCCTTTTTTGATGGAAAAGTGATGGAGAGGTGACTTCGGACTGCTCATTGACACATGGAAATGAGCATGTATGCAACTTGGTCTAGGGTGAGCACAGTATGCCTGGTGTGAGTTCTGCTTACATAATTAATCTAGGTTTTGTTAAGAATACCTGATCGTCCTTTACTTATGGTAGGTATCAAATTGGTTGTGGCTTCCAAGGTGGGAGCGACTACTCTATTCTCGATAAGATTAGAATCTGAGGCAGGGACCCTTGATTGTGCTTATGTTGAGATAAGAAGGATATCCAATAGTACTCATGAGTGTATCCCATGGGGCTCCAAGGGAGTTTGTTCAATACCAATACCATATTTTTGAGAAGATGGGGGAGATCATGAGAAGAGTCCTCGTGTGTCTGTGCAAATGATTTTCAAACTCTAAAGGGTATTTCAGAAGATTGGTTGGGTGGGGTAGGATGAGACCTAGAGTCAGGTTGAATTTTGTTTTGTGAATCCCTTTACGAGGATTCTCAAGATTTAGTTCTATTATTGGATTGGACTTTATAATGGGATGCCTTTTGCTTATAAATCTGTTTGATGCATCCTCTATAGGTGGTTGATTTGTTCTCATCCAAGATTGGGGCAGGTTGTGTTGGGTCGAACACAACCCAGATATCAGGATGTTGTTTAAGATGTGATGAGTCGAAAAGGAACAGTGACCAACATGTTGTAAGGTAAACTTCTAATAGTTCTGAAAGCATATTGAAGCGGTTGATGGGTTTTGGTCATAAGAACATCCTATGTGCTCATACAAACCCTAATGCTTGGATCTAGGTTTCTTTATTGTACATGCAAGTTATCCAAGACTATAAACCCTAATTCTAGCGTTCAAGTAATCATATTAACATGAGAATAGGTTTAAGATCATACCTTGATTGTTATGTAGCAATAACAATCACAAATCTTCTTGTATTGACTTTGGAAAGCTTAGAGTCACAAATGTCACTCCTCTAATGGTTCAAAAACACCATAACCAAGAGGATGAAGAGGAGAGAGGATGGAGGCTGCCCAAAAACGTGTGAAACCCTAGAACAAAGCTTAGCCACGTTTTTGGTCCTTAAGGGGTCTATATATAGTGAGGCTATTAGGGTTATCTAACAAGGAAACCCTAATTTGGATGCTTAAGCCCTAAGCAACCCATGGATTCCTTTCCTTAAGGCCTTGTATGATTTCTTATGGGTTTCCCCATAGAATTCATCCACTCCTTAATATAAGGCAATCCATAGCCCAAATTGCAATTATCTTATAATTACAATTCCAGTCCCTTTAGTTTAATTAATCTCTTTTAGTCACAAAACTAATTACCAATTAATTCTCGCATAATATTAATTTAAACAATATGATTTCTCCTTTAATATATTATTCTCATAATATATTAATAAATCATATTTAATCCTTTCTCTCCATAATTCATCCTATCAAGTTGCTTTGGTGAAGGCAACCCAAAAGGACCATGCACCATCGGGTCAAGTACACACCAAAATAGTTATGGACTTAGACACTAATCCAACAGTCTCCCACTTGGATACGTCTAATAACTATTCTACGTATGACTTCAGATCCTAATCTGCAATCGTAGCTTTCCAAAGCCGCTGTCAACTCTGATCATATCAGATACGTGTGTCCTTAGATAAGGGATCATATATTCCTCCATTCTAGATATCGTATGAGATATGATTTCTAATGATTCTCTTTGTACTATTTCTCGATTTCCGATTTATGACGATTGACTAATTGAACAAATCAAATTTGCCCTAGCCCGGCCGAGCATTTACGTTTGTCATCACTAAATCATCGAGGGGCCCAAAGATATCGCTTTTATACTACTTTGGATAAAAGGAACAGATAAACTTTGATACAATGATTGCTTGCACTCACTCAACGAATCACACAAAATAATATGTTTTATAACACCAATTTACTAGTGTGTTTACATATTATCAATGTGCAACCGATTTGCAAGATACAATTCACATATCTCGGTTTCAAGAATATAATATGTTATCGTCTCACCAATCACTCGTGATACAATTTATGGAGTGATCCAAGTGAGCGTGGGTTTAATCCAATACTCAAATTCATATTCATAAGCACTCATGAACGCTGCAGCAAACATTTATGTCTAATACTCTTTTAGACAATCCACACACCAATTCTCGACAGTCTTCATTCATACCTACTTCCAAAATATGAACGACTGTGGCCCGTTCGAATAATTTGACTGTTCTTAACCAACTAAATTATTCAGGAATTCAAAACATGCAAAGTGAAACACAAGAATAATACTAATCCCATATGGCCTCAAACCTTTGAGCATAAATAAAACACCTTTTATTTATCACCATATCGATTACTCATTATTTGTCATTTCGGGTAATCAACTTCTTACTTGAATTATTACACTTGTCACATGCTCTTTCGCATGCACACAATGTTTACCTATGGTTCTTACTTTGTGAAATAGATCAAATTGAATACATTTCCAATCATTCTCATTTCACAACTCCAAATCCTTTTTCATAAGTGTAAGAATATCAAATTCTTGCCACTTATAGAATATGCTAGATTCTAACATTTTATGCAATCATCCTTTCGTAATATCACTGCACCAAAGTCACAAAGACTATTGCCAATGAAAATACGAAGTCCTCTATCGGAGATTGTTAGAAGACAATTCCTTAGATATGATGTCTCTCACTCAAAGTACATTCCTTTGAACATCCTTTTGCATAAAAGTTTCTAATCTAGTCATAGATTTTTCAATATTCGATTTCCCAATATGGACACATTTCCATATTTTCCATATGACAACTCATTCTTAATAGAATCTTATCTATTCGTAATAATGTCGATATGGTCCATCCAATATGGAAACATTTCCATATTTTCCATATGACAACTTATTAATAGAATCTTTTCTATTCATAATAATGTCGATATGGTCCATTCAATACCATGCTTCCAACTACTCATAAGCAACCAATCCTCGTCGAACTTTGGATTGTCCTTTGATAGTTGTTTAATTATTTTAGTCAAAACTGATTCTAGTCCTTTTTCCCTCTAAATACGCTAGACATTTGGAAAATTTTAGAATGGTCAAATATTAAAGCATTTGCAATCGATCCTATACCCGAAGTGGGACACGATGCATAATGTTTTATTTGCTATGTTCTCAAAATTCGAATTATGAAGAGGAATGCCGTAATCATAATCAAAATTTTAAGAACACACTATGTACCTTTGACTAAATTTATTAACATTTCTGAACCTAAGCCGTTAGATTTGAAATGAAGCATAATATTCTCTCCCTTAATTATAGCAAAACAACTTTATAACCCTTACCACTTTGAAAGGTATAACTCTTGTTTTCTATAATTAATATTATCAACTTGCAATATGTGCCTTAATAATCATACAATCATAAAATTTATGCTCCCACTATCATGATGATTATTATAAAACATAACACTTATGGTCCCACTAGCTTCGACATGTACTCATAAACATCTTAACTTTCAGAAAAACAATACCTATTGAATTTCTTAAGTCCATGTTTCTAATACATAATGATTTGATAATCTTTTATCAAGGCCTCTTAAACTGATACACCTTTTCCTTAGATAGCTCATATGTTTGTCTAAACAATTAAGACTAGTTGCCAAACCACACAATTCAAATCATGGAAAGGGATACCGTAATCATAATCGAATTTGAGAATGCAATTTTACAATCACTATCTTCTTAAAATCTTTCTTAATGAAAGCATTTCCTCACAATCATTTTCATGAAGGAGGAAATCTTATGACACTTAGATTTAAATGGTGTATGTGTTCCTATCCATGTGAATTTGTTAAAACCAAAGTTTACGACAAATTCAAACTCATATGGACCGAACTTTCTTAATATTGATTTCTTGCCTTATGGTAGCACAGCTACCCACCATGTCTTCCAAGTAGTTAAGCAGCTCACCTTTTCCTATCAATGTACCTTTCATTGATCAAGGTGCCTTGCCTTTTATGCGTTCAAAATGAGAACTCATAGAACTCACATGCATAATTAACTCAATTGGAAACAGCACAGAAACAAAATAATGTCAACACGATAGGTTGTAAACCTCAACTCGTGTGCTAGTGATGATCCATAAGGTTTATTTGATTTGTTCTTGAAACCTTTCAAGACCATTAAGACTCCCACTGACTCCCTGACATATAAGATTCTCTTGTCAATAACCATTTCTTGACAAAGTAAATATTCAAGAGTTAGTGTAGCTTTTATCAAAACACTTCATAAATTGGTCCTAGTTGGCCTTTGTCTTATCCAAGATATCACAACTTTCCACATTTGATGAATGCTATAAACCTTCTTAATACTTTTCACTCATTGTCACAATCTTAACTTTAAGACTTGTTTTGGAACGAAGTATGATTGACCTTTTGATTTAACCATTTCTTCAATTCTTGATTCGTCTTCTTAAACATACAATTGTACTAAGACTCACTTAGAGGATCAATTGAGATATGGTTCTTAATCATTAAGACCTATCATAAAGCATAAAAGTTACTCTCCTGTCTTCTTAGAATGGAGAAACTTTTATCTTTCTGCCTACTTGATTCTTCTTATTCGTGCTGCTATTGATTTAAACTTTTTCAATCAATTCATAATTACACTTAATCTTATAAGTATAAGCATTTTTACTAAACCTTTAGTAAATCATGACGAATATCTTTGTTATTCTTGTGGTGGACTTTGATCAACACACAACTTTGTGTGCTCGACCTCCTAGTCCTTTCACTTGACACTTTGTCAACGAATTAGTCTAATTTCCAAATATGAAATTTCTCATTCATCATGCAACCAAGTTGCGTGATTCCAAATTTCTGTCCAATTGAGATTTGGGCGATGAGAAACTCTCCCTA